TGGCAGATTATGGGCCTCCTATAGCTGCTGCCAGGCCCCTAATCTGCCATAGGCCCCTAATATACCGCTTCCTCATGCTGCTGCCAGGTCCAGAGTCTCTCATGGGTCCCTGTACGGCCTCCCATTGCTGCTGTCTCCATTGCCACACTCTGCCATGTGCCACTTTCAGGTCTCCTCACACACTGCTGGTGTGTAGAATTTTTTGACATAGGGTGCTGGCAGATTACGGGCCTCCCATAGCTGCTGCCAGGCCCCTAATCTGCCATAGGCCCCTGTTGTCGCTTGTTGGCATATTCCGCTCGTTCAGATGCTCCTTCTCCTGCTACTCCTCTTCACGGATTCCGTCAGCAGTCTTTCTTGGAATCCGTTTCCAAGAGACAACAGTTTGCGAGCACGCACCAGACAGTGCAGAAACTGAACGTCCTCCTGTCCAAGTTGCTGCTGCCAGGCTCGTAATCTGTCATGCGCCCCTGTACCGCCTCCTCATGCTGCTGCCAGGTCCAGAGTGTGTCATGGGCCCCCGTACCGACTCCAAATGCTGCTGCCAGGCCCGTAATCTGTCATGGGCCCCTGTACCGCCTCCCCATGCTGCTGCCACGTCCAGATTGTGTCATGGGTCCCTGTACGGCCTCCCATTGCTGCTGCCAGGCCTGTAATCTGCCATGGGCCCCCGTACCGACTCCTCATGCTGCTGCCAGGCCCGTAATCTGCCATGGGCCCCTGTACCGCCTCCTCATGCTGCTGCCAGGTCCAGAGTGTCTCATGGGTCCCTGTACGGCCTCCCATTGCTGCTGTCTCTATCGCCACACTCTGCCATGTGCCACTTTCAGGTCTCCTCACACTGCTGGTGGTTTCCATTTTTGTCATAGGGTGCTGTATGGCCTCCCATTGCTGCTGCCTCCACCGCCACACTGTGGCTCCACACTCTGGTTTTGGCCCCGTGACTGGCCAAATGAGTGAAGTGTGCGGTGATTCTAAGATCGACGGCACTCATCTGCATGTCATACTGCCTGACAGTATTATTTCTCTTCCCCAGCAGACTCCAGGGCATTTAAATTAAAGGTACAGTGTTCAGCACTAATATTAAGTCTCTCTGAAACCTAGAAACACCCTTTTTTAAGTTAAATTCACAGCGAATATATTCGACTCGAATCGAAATTTTTCTACGAATTCGCCGAATCAGTCGAATCGAATTTTTGAATACTTCGCTCATCTCTAGTAATGGCCATCGAACACATACAGAAAAGATCCCTAGCAGACAATGAGAGGTTGTCCCTTCTGTGTAAGAGGGAAACTTTTTGGATCTTTAAGTTGGGATCCATGGCACCAAATGGTCTGAACGAGGATTTGGAAATTCATAGCATCATTTAATACTAATTTTTGTCCGCATATTTATTGGTCTAGTGAGCTGTTGGTTTACATATATCTGAATTTCTTTTATACATAACTGATTCTTATCATTATTATCAATATTACAGTTTTTATCATTATCATCATTTTTTATAAATCTCACCATCAAGTATGATGCCGTTGAATGGATTGTTTTAACAATTAAAGCCTCTACAGTAATCAGTTTTTAATTAATGATCGTTTTTAATAAACATCTTGCATTACAATACGTTAATGTTTTATGCTTTATTTAAAGAAAGATTTTATATATATATATATATATATATATATATACATATACATATATATATACATACAGTATATATATATATATATATATATATATATACACACACACATTTGTCCGTACAATTATGCCCCTCCATTTATGGTATTTATTCTCTATTCTCTATACAGTACTGAGGATAGTGCAATATAAGATATTGCTTGACATACTTTAGCAGTATGACACCCCTACATAGGGTTAATTATATTCTTTTGTTAACCATTGTGTATTCATTGATTTTTATTTTTATTGGCATGGTCTTATAATTGTTTTTCCACAATTGGTATTTATTATTGTTCAGTGTCTATCATTCTCTTTGTTTTCTGATGTTTAGTACACAGGTTGGACAAGCCATCCGCTCTGTGTTTCCTCCCCTTGTCTCTGTTGCCAGCCCTCATGCCGGGTCCTTTCCCCTATAAAATGGCAAGGCTCATGCGCACGAAACAAGTTGTCCAGGTTACCGGCCTCCATCTTGGCTTGAGTTCCAGTGTTGGATCCTCCCTCCCATCCCGCTTCCTCCGTAGACCGTGGTGACATAATTCCACTATACCACAGACACGTGGTCCATCACCAGTGACAGGAGAACCCCTTGTCTCATACCATCCACATCGGATTTACCACTGACAAGGGTGCTTACAATGATCAGCTTTTATTTATTTATGTAATACCTTTCTCCCAGAAGGGACATAAACAGTTTCTGTACCTGCTTAAAACATGTTAGCTGGAGTTTTTGACTTCAATTTGTAACTGTATCTAAATCTGCTAGTGCATCATTATTACCCTCTCCCTAGACTGACAATGCTACTGTCCAAAGATATCATTGCCGCTCCTTCATCCAGAGTGGGGGCACTATAATACAGGAGGTGTGTTGCTGGCCAGATCACCAGGTGAAAACAGCAGGGAAAAAGCCAAAACAAAAATTAGAAAACTAATGCAGCCACCACATCTAATGACTGGTAACCTACTATATAATACTTTTTTTGTTTTGGGTTGCATATTTCTTAAACAAAGGTATGTTTGGCTTATCCCTGTTGACAATAGAGAAAAGACAATTTCCTAATAGAAACATATTATCTTTGTTTTTTGGAGGATTCTAGAGTTGATGGGCAATCAATTTAGAGCATTCACTATGCAGCCTTTTTTTTGGGTACCTTACAATTAACCCATATTTTTGTGTGCCTGTGCAATCTCTGTTTTACTATTTTTAACTTTGCTGAAATTAAAGGGCTGTCTTTGACCAAAAAAAAGAAAGCTCTTGAAAATGCAGCATATAGTTCATTAGATAAAGTAATGTGTGTCCATAGTTGTGAGGGCTCTGAATAATATTACAGTATAATACAAACTTCATTTTTGAGGCAGCTGTGTAGATTAATTATCTACAGAGTTCAAGTACAAATCAGTGCCAAGAGCTCCAACTTAAAGCAACATTTATGCAGATTCTACAGAAATTTAAAAGAGTTTTTCCACAGATCATTGCTTTACAATGGCTACTTGAGTTTAAAGTGGTTCTAAAGGGAAATCATTTTTTGCCTTAACCACTTGACCAGGCCATTTTTGCGTTGCGGTGCTGCGTCACTTTGACAATTGCACGGTCATGCAACGCTGCACCCAAATGAAGTTTACGGCCTTTTTTTTCACGAATAGAGCTTTCTTTCGGTGGTATTTGATCGCCTGTATGTTTTCTATTTTTTGCGCTATAAAAAAATGACAATTTTGAGAAAAAAAAAAATATTTTTGACTTTTTGCTATTAAACATGTCCAGTAAAAAAATTTTAAAAAATCTAATTTCGTTATACGTTTAGGCCAAAATGTATTCTGCTACATGTCTTTGCTAAGAAAAAATCCCAATACATGTAAATTAATTGGTTTATTGATTACATACAGTTCTCTCCCCCTGTCAGAGATGGTCGGTAATCACCGGTGAGTAATCATTGACCAGGACCTGGTGTTTGACAACTGAGGCCGTGAATGGCGGGGTGGGTAGAGCGTGCGTGCACCTCATGCGCGCCCCCTACACGGAACTGTAAAATCACATATATATGTGATTTTGCACACCCCCATGCCGCCCTGTAGCAGTACTTCTTCTATAGGGCAGATGGGAAGTGGTTAATGCATTCCCTGCATTAAGGTAAAAATGTTCCAGTATTTGTATCACCTCCTAAATACTTTCCTGTCCTCACTCTATCCAGCGCTGTGCCTGTCTGTAGCGGCTCTCTACCCATTCTCACAGGGCAGAGAGGCAGCAGTGGGAGCCATTGGCTCCTGCTGTTGTAAATCAAAGCTTGTGAGCAGAGAGTAGGGGCAGGGCTGAGCTGCAATGTGTGTGTCAATTGACTCACACAATATATAACAAAAGTGTGCAGCACACTGTAGTGAAAATATCTCTAAATCTACAAACCTATCAAACAAAGTAAAAAAGCAACAAATAACTAACTGTGATATTTTAAATGCCTCACACCCTCCTAAATTAAGTGCACATAATGCTTAATGTAGCCAGTAAACACAAAACCAGTGAACAGTTTACAGGTTAAACAAAACAATATATAACCCAATATCCACCACTATATTTCCTCACACATAATAATGTTGTTCTTCCTCTCAAAAGAATTTTATTGAATAATTTTGATGTTAGAAAATACAAACTCGACCGCTGTCTTATGTATAAACAGAGATATTACAATAACAGTCAAAAGCGGTCGTGCACAAACAAAGCATAACTGTAGTAGGTGACATTATAAATGGCATGTCAAAAAAACAAAAATATCAACCATGTTGTGTCAGTAAATCAGAGTAGAAAACAAGGAAAGGGCTACAAGTCTGTAGCCTATTGGCCAACAATGATAAAAGGGGTTATGATGATTAAAGTGCAGCAGCATATAGTCAAGTCGTGAGATGTGCAGAATACCTTGTGGAACGTAAAACATCCCTGCGAGAGAGCCAGAAAGGTGGAGATAGAAAGAAGAGAATGGGAAGGCAAAACAAGGAAGGATCGGAAAACAAATGTCAAAAGTGCTCAGGTCCGGGTTATGGGGCCCTTGTGGTTATAATGAAGTGAGACTAACTATTGGTAAAGCAGGATGGGCATGTCGGATCCATGGAATCCATGTTTTAAGGAATCTCTCGTGGGTGTCTGAAAGACTGCTTGACAGTTTTTTATACACATTACATCTGAAAATCAATTTTTAGTGATACTTCAGCTCTGTATAACTGACATTTGGCAGTGCAGCTAAATCTGTTTGTGATATAAAGAAGTGGTGTGACCGAGCTCAAAATGTTCTCAATAAATACGAAAATAAATCAATTAATTAATTAATTCTTTCTGCATGTGCCCTGTGAATAATTCAGTGCAATATAACTACTAATCAGGAAACCACAAATAAATCATATAACTATGGTGTATCCAAAAATACATGAATAAATACATTATTAAAATTAGTCCATAATTCATCCAATAAGAAACCACCACTCGTCTTAGATTGTAAACTCCAAGGAGCAGGGCCCTCCTATCCCTCTTGTATTGAACTGTATTGTTGCTGTATTGTCTCCCTTTATATTGTAAAGCGCTGAGCAAACTGTTGGACTATATAAAACCTGTATTATAATAGTAATAATAATAATTGTGTAGTGAAAAAATAACTATCATGCGAAAGTATCCCTGTCATACAATTCTGTTCTCCCTGGGAAGTACTCATCATCACTTATTATAATACAATAAAGTGAATCCAATATATAAATGTGAATCCAGTGTATAAACAATTAAATACTGTATCATGAAAGCAGCTCACCAAATCCAATACATAGTCTCCTCTCATAGCAGTGCAAGGAAAACTGCTTTGACTCATGGTCAGGTTCCGTCCTCATATCATATATAGTATACAAGGGGGAAGAGAAGCGCTGATAGTAAAACCTTCACAGCTTTATTTCCAACACAAACTATTGCACTTACAATCCCTGCGTGTCCAACCCGACACTGAGGGAATTTTGCATGTAAATAGAAATCACTGTCAGCTCCGACAGCAGTCCATGGTCACAAACAAGCAGTGCATGCAGGATAATGTCACTCCAAAGCCAACTCTGACGCGTTTCACGCCATCACCTGTGGTTCCATATGATCCATCACTTTTACCCATTCAGCTAGGAATGGAACTTGGGTTGTCCGCCAATGGCATGGAATTACTGTTCTTGCTGCCTTTAAACAATGCCTAAAAAGTTTTTTTTTTATACGTTTGAATGAACCTGGTAGCACAGAAACCAAAGTGTTTGGGGGAGTATTTGGGACAGTCACCCTTGCAATGGTGGTATAAAGCTATAGGATTCTATTGGGTTCTAAAAATTGTGGATAGGGTGGCAGTCTCACTAGACATGTAAACAGGAGTCTCTGGTGGTGAGGCAAAGCCAACCTAAGTCCAAA